ACAATATTAACAGTGACAATAGCATTAATTGACGGAAAAGAGTAGTGAAATTATTTAGGAAAAAAAATATCTAACCATAAATTTGCTTGCTGAATCCTGTTACAAACGTCACGAAATGTAATTTATACCGTGTGATTATTACTAACAAGAAAAACTGTCTTACCGTAATGGATCCTATGCTGCAATACAACATCTTGCAGTCAAGTAAAAACTGAAAATAATTAAATTTCTGGTAATATTAATATTTTATTTATTTATTACACAGGTACATATAGACCAGGAAACGTTGTACAAACTTAGAAACAGAATAAAACTAGAAAATTTTCAAGTACACTAATATATTCCAAACGAACGAATATTTATTTCACTTTTGAACTTATGGCAATAACACCTGCCTGTATAATTGACGTTACGCTTGCATCAATTTAAAAATTAGTATTACATGTGTAACAAGCTTTTTTTATTCTTATTGAAATCAAATGTTAGCCTATTTTACATAAAAAATAATTTTCCTTCAAACGAATACTTATACGACTTTTTCACTTCATCATTTTTTCGTTTCTCGTCAACAGGTTGATAATTCCATGAAAACAAATCTTTATCACTCCGTGAAATTTCAGAATCGTCCGGTGAAGTTTCAGAATCGTCACCACTGCCACTATAATACACCTCGTTCAAGTCCCAGTTTTGTTCTTTACGGTCACTACCATCTCCATTTTTAGAATCGCCAGATTTACCAGATATCGGCGGGCGCGTTGTTGTAGTGGGCTTTAGAATGTATTTTCTAAATTCATCTTCGTCGTCCAAAAAAGTTGATATTTTGCGTGGATACCGATGACGAACTTGTTCCTTGTAGCACTGAACGTAAACTAAGAACAAAATTAAAACTAATACAAAATAATTCATTTTTTAAACGTTGTCTTCAAAGTCTTGTAAGTAAATGACAAGTATACGGGTTTCATTTTGCGTAAAGGAAATTATTATTCTATTTTAGGAGAGACATGCACACGGGAATGTAATTTTGATAGTGCTTACCACAACGTAATCTCGGGAATACCACAGGGGGAAAGATAAAATGTCTACATTAATGATTTCTAGCATAAAAAATTATTAAAAGTATAATAAAAATCTTTAATAGTAATTTACTTTATGTTAACGTATCATTTTGCAAATTGTAAAACTAGTCCGTTAGTTTGAGTTGAACAACCCTTCACCCCATCACACGATATGTATCTCAGGGATAGTAGAAATGTTGCACACTTTATCAATTTTTATTAAATAAGGAAAATTATAGCAAATATTTTCCATTTTTCACAAAGTCTGAGTAAGATGAACGATTTTGAAAAAAATACATCGAACTATTTAACGCAGACATTGTAACATAATTCCTGTAAAGCTGAAAATTATACGTGACCTGAAAAACAAAAGGTTTAAATCTTGATATGCTGCAAAGAAGGTAAAAGACAAACAGCAACGACAGAGTAAAATAAAACTATAGCCTGAAGAACAGTTCACGAAATCCAGCTTCTTCGAAAAATGATAAAATTTGACTTTGAGAAATTTTATTTATTTTTTGATAACCCCTACAAGTTAAAGAAAAAAAATAGTGCAAGGTTGTTTAGATAGAACTCTCCTCGCTCTTGCAATATAGTACAAATTATCCAACTTTTTCTAAAATTTATAAAATTTGATTTTTCTACATATTTTTATTTTTTTTACGATAACCACTTTAAATTAAAAGAAAGATATACGTGTAGTAAAATAGGTAAGCTATTCACCTGTTTCAAGTGAATTATTGCATTACAAAATTTTGTCACGGCGTGGTCTAACATTTTAACACGACCTGCTACATTTTAACAAGGACACATATCAATGAAAGTATCATATCCCCAAAGTGTCATACATTTTTTAAGTAATTCTATATAAGCAATTCTAAACAACCATCATGTATATATAAAAATATCAAAGAAAACAGGATTGTTAACGGCTGCTCTGCTATCGAGGACTCATTGTGATCGATACAAACACACTTTTCCAAGAAACCATAAACTGCAACCAGGAAGCGGAGACGGCCGATGGACAATTATAATCGGTCTGCTTGTCTGATAATTTTTCTAATTTTTTATGCAAAAAATATTTCTTAGCACTTTGTAATTAAAGAAAACATGAAGTTTTCTTAATACAAAAAAATTGATCCAAGGTTATCTACACTCTCTGAAGTACAGTCCAACAGGTACAGTAAAGTACAGGTCATAGTATTGTTACGAAAGAAACCCATACGCCGCTACGGTACGACGCCTATGGGTTCTAAGTAGTATGTACGGCGATGATGGGTGACTCATCGTCGGTGACGGCGGCCAGGTGGCGTTCGGTAAAGAAAAGCCTGGAAGCGGAAGTCGCGATGGGTATTCGAGAAAGACCTCGATTGCGGAACGTCTGGAAGGGAAGTATGGGTTTAAATAGAGGCCACCTTCGGGAACGAGATTATTCAACCAACGAGTCGAGCCTAGTGAATGTTGAGAATCCAGTCAAGTTACGCCGGAATTATTTTGTACATAATCGCCGATATTAAATTAGAGACCATCGTAACAGTATAAATAAAAAAATGTGGCTATGTGAGAGATCCAGATGCGGTTGCCACTGAACCATTGCTAATATTTCAGAAGGTAGGTATTATGTATTTAAAGAACAGCATTACTACGAGAATATTGAATAATAAAAATTATAATAATAAAAATTATAATAATAACAACACAAAATCAAGGCAAATTGAAAACCTGCAGTACAGCAGTTTGTTATTCTATAAAATGTTAAAGCAAAAAGTTGAGGTAGCGTCATCAAATTATTGGTGGGGATGATTAGACAAATTTTGGTTAGCGTTTTTCCATTTGTAGGATATTCTTCAAATACATATAAAATTTCACGACAATCGGTCTGGTGGTTTCGGAGAGTATCTGTCTAATAAAAATCGGCACATACTACAGACAGACGGAAACCGGAGGTTTTTTTCTATTCTAGGTGTAATGAAACGTCGAGAAAATTTGGAAGTACTTAGCTTACGCTCTAAAAGTAAAAATTAGTAATGTGGGTCACAAACGGAACTAAGTAAGGTAAGTAAGCAAAGTCAAATCATTGTAATATTAATTTCTTTAACACCAGTTATATTGCTCTTAATGTTAGAAAATATTTTTAAGACTTTAACTAAACCAAATCTCATAATTGTTTCTATCATAATTAGAGTTTAATTCGTTCAGAAAGCAGCATTTATCTTTTGGATTGTTCTTGACCAGTGACTTGATTTATAACAGATTTATACAACTCTCAATCACGTTCACCTTCTGTGATCTAAATTTTTTGAATTAAGAACACTGTGTTTTATTACTGCACGAAGAGTATATGTCTGAAGTATCTTGAACTCACCGGCAAGTATTAGTCTATCGGTTACACGAACAAGTTTATTCAAGGTAGATTCAAATTTATGTAGACTATAGAGACCATTTTCACCAGGTGCCTTATAAAATTCTGCAGTCGCCAGCTTTAGACGTTCAGTGTTAATATTAATCCACACTGGTTCATAGCTAAAATTAAAGTAAAAAACAGATATTTTTTTAATTTAACACCTCCACCACGACGATTTATGTCACGGTGTATAAATCTATAATGTGATAATCCAAACATCCCCCTAAAATTTGACTTTGAACTGTGAATAAAAAATTAACCATATATTGTGTATTTTTTTTATGACACAATGCGTCCAAATGCAAAATGGTGGACAAAGATTATTTATTCCGTTACGAATCAACGTAAATATTTCAATATCACAATTTTAAAAACACGAGAAATAAGAGACATCAGAATTAAAGTAACTGGATGCAAAAACTCAAGTTATTAGGATAGTGGGGCGGAAAATTTAAATTATGTCAGTCGAAAAATCAGCAAGCGAGAGCGGAATTCAAGTTCTTCGGTGTAGTCTTGTCACCCATTCTTGATGATTGTACTCTATTGATGGGTATAACACACACTCCACATTTCTATGTCCAAAAAACCTGCCGCATATTATACTCGTTACCCGGTCTTCCTAAAATAGCCAGCTATTAAACCAACCAACGCATTTTACGTGGACGCGAGTCTCCCCATGAAGTCTCAATTTCAACATATATTTGACAGAACTGCAAACTTTAACTAGAAACCGTGTGCTCCGCTTTTGCCATGCGAACTTGTGCCCTTTTATTTCAATTGAGTTCAAATTCTATCTCTCTCGAATTCATATCAATGCCTGAATGAGTACCTATTACAATTACGTTCTTAAATTAATTAGGCCACATTTACCCAGAATTTCTACCAATAAAGAATTTACATGAGTTTAAATTATGCGTTAATTCGAGTTACTGCAAAATGCATTCGTAGATTTCTTAGTGAACCGAAACCTCACATCACATACAAACAGAACACGTATTCAACACGTATTCAACATCAAAATCACCTGGTACCCTTTTCCCATTGATATCTATCCAACATGTTTGTTTTTTTTTATTTGTATATATGTACTTGGATTTTTAATATAAAGAAAAATTAACTTAAATGATACTACAAGAAAAAACTGTGGTAATATTTAGAACTAAGTAGTAGTAAATAAGGCGCACCCTTGACCTATTCAGTGTGAGCTAATGCAAATTGAAACGTTTACCTGTTCCGTGTTCTTCTTTATGCATAAAAAATATTTCATTTTTTGTGATTTTTCGAATCTTCATAAGAATATTAAATTGTTATTAAAGAACGAAACACTCTGATTATATCGGGGTGTTTAGTTAGTAATTTTATTTAGAATGAATACTCTACATTTAAATATTTTGTTCGCATTTAAATATTTTTGTGGCGCCATAACGTTTTTATTTAAGATAACGTGTTAAGTGTATGTCTTAACAAATTTAGCGAGGAACGTATTGAAGGAAAGTTGTATCGCATTTATTGCTATAACGATTAATCAAAAGTTACGCCCAACTTTTAAAATTTATTGATATTAGATAGGACATGAAATGTAATGTTCATATTTATTTATTACAACTTATTATCTTAGGAATAATAGTGTCATAATTTAAAGGTCCATTAAAATATGGAGAACAAAACCTGAACTTAACGGGTACTCAGTCGAATAGGTGTCGACTGTTAACAATGAACAGCGAAAAAAGGCAAAAACAACAAGCCAACCCAAGACAGCTGGCCAACGTACTGTCCAAAATAACTTTCTGGTAAGTATTCTCCTTCAAAGAATACATTTGGAAAATTTTGTCTGTAAATTCAAGGTATACTCGAGAATTGTTTATAAAAGGTTTTAACAGAGAACTAGAACAAGAAGATTTATACGAAGTACTTCCAGAATTTGATACTAATAGTCTTGGAGATCGCATCACACACGAATGGACCTTACATAAACATCGTAAGAACGATGCAATGTTTTCTATTTTTTGGAAAATGTTTGGAAAACATTATCTGCTACTTGGTTTGACAAAAATTATTCATATCATATCTGAGTAAGTACTTGTCAAAGCTTATCATATATATTTCATAAATACAAATGTTTCATTTGTAGTGTTTTGCGTCCTATACTTATAGGCAGATTGGTGTACTTTTTTACTTCAGATCAGACGGAATTAACTAAACAAGATGCCTATATGTACAGCTTTTTTCTAATAGGACTCCAAATATTTAACGTTTTTTACAGACATAATTATTATTTTGTAGTAGAAACTCTGGCAATCAAAGTACGAACCGCAATATGTGCTTTAATTTATAGAAAATGTCTTAAACTACCAGGAAATCGGTTAAGGGACATTTCATTTGCAAAGATCACAAACTTAATTACGAGAGATATTCATATGTTTGTTTTATTCTTTGTTCAGTTCAATGAAGGATGGACTGGATTTAGCGCCAGTGTTATAATATTTTGCAACTTGTATCGAGATATCGGACTTCCTGCCATTGTAGTACTGATACTTTTTGGTGTATTTATTCCATTTCAAGGTATGTATAAAGTTTTTCATATTTAAGTAGTATTTAAAAAAAAGACGAGATGAAGTTCCAAAGATCGCATATCAGAAAACTTAGTTTATGTGTTAACATTAGATTGACGTTTTTTTTCTCTTAAAAATTCAATACATGATTCCTAAAAAGAAGTCAGAAAAATATGGTCACAAACCGAAAACTTGGCTTCGTGTCGACACAAATTTGAAGAGTTCGACAAAATGGTTTTAGTAGGCTACCGGTTCCAGATCAATTTTTTTCCATTTACTATATGGTGCTACATACAGATTTTTACTTGTTAATACCCTGATTTATTGTCCATTCTGAATTTTTGTTTAAGTAAGCTTACAATCACTTTTTATGTAACGAATTTTGTATAAACGGAGAGATAAAAGTCTATTAAAATTTAAACTAGCAAAAATTTTCACTAAATTTTTCTTCCAAAACTGAATTGTCTCACTTTATCTAGGATATTTTATTACGACGTATTGCCCGTTTGGGCAATGGCACTCGTAATTGAGTAAATTAACTTTTTAATTACTCTTTTTTTGCTCGTAACTTGCAGGTAAAATCATGTATTACTGCAATCAAACTTTACTTTTCAAACCTAGTGTATAAAATTTTTTCATATAAATATTTTTTTACAGTCTACTGTGGCATAAGGCTTTACTTTCTGAAGAAGTCAACATCTGAAAAAACTGATAAAAGAATTGAAGCTTTACAAGGAGCTTTATCCAGCATTAAAAGTGTCAAAATGTTTGTGTGGGAAAAATTTGTTGAAAGACAAATAATTTTCAGTAGAAGGTAAGGTTATAAAAAAGACAGAAAAATCTTTAATAGCTACTGTAACAATTGTAGAAAAGAAATGAGTGCTTTAATGAAAATATTGAATATTCTATTTTTCACGGTAGTGGCAGGAATGATAACAAGCAATGTAGCTTTTTATTTTGTTGTAATGATATACGTTTGGTCTGGAAAGCCGCTAATGGCAGAAACTATGTATATCATCACCGGTGCATTCTTAAACTTCTCATTCATCCTTGCAACTGCTGTTCCCTACGCAATATTTTATTTTTCTCAAATATTCGCTGCCATTAAAAGAATGCAACTTGTGGTGCAACAATTAGATCATCAAAGTGAAGAAAAAAACAATAAAGACGAAACGAATGATCCAAAAATTCACTTAAAAAATGTCACAGTGAAACAAAACGACAAATCACTTTTTCAAGACGTTAATCTGATGATAGAAAAGGGATTAACAATTATCACTGGACTGACAAATAGTGGCAAAAGTATCTTTTTAATGTCGCTACTACAAGAATTTGAGCTCAGCAACGGAAACATAGAAACTCAAGGTAAAATCTCTTATGCATCACAAGTTCCGTGGATGTTTCCTTCTACAATTAAGCAAAACATAATATTTGGGAGCAAATTTGATGAAAAACGTTACAAAAATGTGATCAATGTTTGTGACCTAGAACATGATCTAAATTTATTAGAAAGTGGAGATCAAACAATTATAGCAGATCAAGGAATTAACTTAAGTGGAGGTCAAAAAAGTCGAATTAACCTAGCAAGAGCTGTGTACAAAGAAAGTGATATTTACCTCCTAGATGACTGTTTATCCAATTTAGATACCTTAGTTGCTCACTCCATTTTCTTCAATTGCATAAAGAATTTTTTAAAGAATAAATTAGTGATTTTAGTTAGCAATAACTCAAGTCATTTCCTATACGCTGATAACATTCTCAGTTTTGATAATGGTGTTATAAACGTACGGAACTGCAGAACACCACCAACAGTTAAAAAAATACAAAATGAAAGAACGGAATGTAAGGTGGATTTTTCCGCACAACAAATTGAAGAGCAAATCGAAATTAGTCCAAGTACTAAACTGATTTCGAACCAAAGGAACAAAAACAAAATTTACGAAGAAAATAACAAAACCGGGTCCGTGTCAGTACAAACTTACAAAACCTACATAAATTTGGGTGGAGGCTTCATTTATTTTATTATAATATTTTGTATTTTTATTTTAACTCAAATTTCCTTGAGTTATAAAGAAAAAGTTATTAGTGATTGGTTAGCACAAATATATACATATGAAGAGAAATATCTTATCAATGTTTAATTTTAGGGCAAATCTAGAAAATGAGATTTCCCAAGTTAACGCAAGTTGTTACAATAATTCAGAATATATTACATTGTCTGAAAAACGTCGTTTATTTGTTTTTTATTACAGTGCTGCAGTTGCCTTAATATCTTTTTCTACGTTTATGAGAGCATGGACCCTTTTTAGGTTTTCAAAAAAAGTGTCGATTAATTTACACAACAAAATGCTAGCAAGAGTTTTACGTGCTCCTCTAAATTTTTTTGATAATACTTATGTGGGAAAAATTGTGAACAGATTTTCAAAAGACATTGTTGCAATAGATGAGAATATTGCTTTTCCCGTACACCACACGATCGCCGTAACATTTATAATCGTCTAAATTTTTCTCATCTCTAATAATATTGTTGGTTACAGATAGTATGTGAAATGACAGGAACTTTAATACTTATTTCATCAACGAACCCCAGACTTTTAGTTCCAACAGTTATGCTTTCTTTAAGTTTCGTAGGATTAAGACACATTTATTTAAAAACAGGGAGGGCGCTAAGGAGACTGGAAGCTTCTAGTAAGACTAATAAAATGCGTTTTATCTTGATTTAATTTTTTCTTTCAGCAAAAAGCCCAGTTATATGTTATTTAAAAGCTACAATAGAAGGTATATTGACGATTAAAGTGTTTAGAGCTCAAGATCTTTTACAAAAAGAATTCGAAAAACATCACAACATTTACAATTCTGCTTCATATTCCCATTTGGCTTGCTTACGAACTTTTATTTTTGCAGTAGATATTTGTGTATCTGCATTTACTGCAGCAGCAATATTACAATTCATGATTTTTAATCAAGGTAGTGCACAGCCAAACTTCTTTTATTTTAATTTGGACCACAACATATTTTAAGATCTTCAGCCTGGAGATGTGGGACTAGTAATTTCTCAGTCCCTTAATATGGGTTGGATAGTTTTTTATGGGATGTTCCAAGGCGCCGAATTAGAAACACAAATGACATCAGTAGAACGTGCTGTCGAATATACAGACATCCATTGTGAAACAGAGGCGGGTCTTGTACTTCAAGACTGGCCTAAACTAGGAGAAATTACCTACAAAAACGTTTCTTTATCTATCAACAATTCAAAGTCATTATTATTGAAAAATATAAACTTCACTATCAAATCAAATGAAAAAATTGGAATTGTAGGACGAACGGGTGCTGGCAAATCATCTCTGCACTTTTCCGTTTGTATGAAACCAAAGGCAAAATTCTAATCGACGGAGTTGATGTAAAAACATTGTCACTGGGTTTTTTAAGATCCAACATTTCTATAATACCACAAGAGCCTGTGTTGTTTAAAGGCACACTTCGTGAAAACCTTGATCCTGGTAGTGTGTACACGGATGAGGAAATATGGAAGGCAATAGCAGCTGTACGTCTTAAAAAATTTCTTTCCTCCTTAGATGTTGCGGTTGAAGAACTAGAGACTATCACAGCACAAAAACAGCTTATTTCTTTAGCGAGAGTTGTACTTAATGATAACAAAATTGTTATTCTCGATGAAATAGTCGAAGATGTCGACACTGAAACAGAAAAGCTAATTCATCAGATAATCGAAGAGAGTTTTACATTTTGCACTGTCATTAAAATAGCACACAAGTTGAAGTTTGTGATGGACTGTGACAAAATTCTAGTGATGGATAATGGAGAAATTATAGAATATGGTGTTCCTAATATTTTATTGCAAAAAGAAGATAGTTTATTTTACAGAATGGTTAACATAGAAGATAATGTACAGTATTAAAAAAACTTCATATTAAAAGCATTTAGTGATAGATGTCTTCAGATTATGATCTTGAAATATTATTGAAAAGAGAAATTTTTGTAACAAAAAAGTATTATGTAATTTACACATATGCAATAAGCAGTAAATCAAACAAATTATTTTTTCGTGTAAATTTCAAATTTTGATCCGTTGTGTATGTTACTCACTGTGTAATAAAACATCTTCACAGACAACTTTTTACCTTTCTTTCGCTGCATCCCATAATGGTTTAAAGAGAAGATGATTTTCAAACAAAAATAAACTTAAAAACTGAAATTTGAAAAGAAATAAAGCAATGCTATCTGTTTTCTTTTGATAGAATATATAATAAGTAGTAAGGAACATATATTTTCTTTGATGTATTTTGTAACTTTCCTTATATTTCACACTTATTTTTTCATTATATTTGTCTTCCCTGCCCAAATCTCTACCTTTGTGAACAATTCGTAAAAAGTTCTTTGATTAAGTCTTCTTCAAATTCAACAGAATATACTGAGTTAGCAAATAAACGAAGATCGTTTGTTAAGTTATTTACATCGAACTTTCAAAGCCTCTGAAGCACAGTCAAAATCGCACAAGTGTAGTCGTACTTTTTTCCCTCAGAGGTATAACCCTAATCATGTCAAAGTTTGTTTCATACAAATTTCTTTGACGAGATATTTTTATAAAAAAATCAAAGTGATTCTAGACTCTATGTATTAAGTAAGATTTTGTTAACAAAATTTTCGAATAACGTCAGGAATTTTTGGCAGGGTTATTAAATATATCATTTCTGATGCATACAGTATAATGCAGCTAAAATAGCGCTGTATTCCCAAAATTTTGGGAAAATAAAAAGCGTTTTATAAGGAAAAGGTTATGACTATGTAGTTTTAACGGAAGCAAAAACAAATGCAGAACAATATTCCACCATTGAAATATTCTTAAATCCTCTCATTAAAAATTAATGTTGCTTTAGTACCGCAACTTTTTTCCTCACTTACGAAAACGTCCACTTCATTTTTCAAAATTGGTGTTAAAAATGACATATTTGAAGACTGTTGGAGAAATATTAAATTAAAGCAACAATTATAAAGAATCATGTTACCTTATTAACTTCAAATTCGATCTACTAATCACGACTTTCAGATTACGTCAACAAGTCTTTGAAAAGGAAGGATCAATTATTTCTAATTAGCGATTTTATATTGTGCATATTATATTAACATAAAACGATTTTTATTTTTCTTCACATAAGAAATTATTAACAAGATTCCATTTTTTTTGACAGTTAATTTTTTAGTGTTTGCCGATCAACTAAATTGCTAATAATTATATGCAGTATGGAGAATCCAATAAAACGGTTATTAAGGAATATCATCAAGCTGTTTCTAATTGATACTTCGAAAGAAGGAACTTTTATTGTTTCTAACTATGGTCTCAAATATCTTATCGGTCAGAATGGTATCCAAAATTTTTATTATTGAAAATTTCTAGACATTTGTCCATACAATTCTTTTGGGATGACGTCATCCAAATTTTGGTGGAGGTCGATAGACACATTAGTCTAACTTCTTACCAAATCGGTACCTCAAAGTAGGTGCTAGATTTCACAGTAGTTGGTTTAGTAGATAGTTTCTAAAATAAATTTTAAAATTTGATTGTTCAATAAAAATTCTTTTCCTGAAAATCTCACAGACGGGGTCAAAAATATAAATGCATTGATGTAGATGCATAACAAATATTTTGTAGATTTTAGATACGATTTATTTATTTATCAAAAATTTTGAGATGACGTCATCTATTTTGAAGAGGTAGACACTTAAATTGAAAATTAATTTAAAAAAATGTTTACAGTAAAGTTATAGACTTTGTGATGCACTCATTTACTCGGCGAGGCATGCTTGAAAGAAGATGGTTTATGGTGTCCGGTGGGATCTCGTCCCAAGCTTCGTGAAGCCGCATACGCAGGTCATTTAAATTATGCGGGGGATGCTCCAAGTTACCTAAACATGTGGCCATGATATCACACACATGTTCGATTGCTGACAAATCTGATGAACGAGCAGGCCAGGGGAGAACTTTCACATTATGTTGTTGAAGTACTCCGTTGTGACTCTTGCCGTATGTGGACGTGCATTGTCTTGCTGAAGTAGGGGTCGATCTAACCCTCTGAGGTAAGGAACTGCAATCGGCTCCAGTACTGTATCGAAGTATTCTGTTACATTCAAATTTCTCTGAATGAAAACTAGGGAGGACCTACCACCCTGCGTTATTCCACTTTGGATCGAGGCAGGGGAACGGCATGCTAGGTGGATCGGGAGTAGAGCAGCGAACTTCGAGGGGAAACCTGACTTCGCCCGGGGACCGCATCCGGCGGAACATAAGAGGAAGTGGATGCCGCTAGAGCCGGAAGAGACGAGAAGAGGAACGTGGATTTTCACAGATGCATCGAGAGGGAGTGAGGACGTCGGGGTAGGGATTGTCAAAATTGAGAACGGGAACGAAGTGTCGAGGATTGGAAGAAGACTCCCAGATGACTACCCCGTGGACATTGCTGAGCTGTGGGCACTGAGACCGGCGGTTTTCTTTCAGGAGTGAAACGAGGAATCATCAGTCTAGTCACCGACTACAGAGTTGCACTAGATATGGTGACGAGAAGAAAAGGAGGAACGGCGGATGGAATCTCGAAAGATTTTCAGAGGATTGAAGATGGGGGCGCCAAGGTTCAACTTTGGTGGTCAACGGACATGAACGCCGGAGGAGGGCCAGAGAAGAACCTGAAAATCACCTGCAGGTGCAGGCTTCAGTCAGTGGGAGAATGCTAAAGCGGGATAGGGTAGCCATGGCGAAATGGCAGGAAGCGTGGACGACAGAAGTTACGGGGCGCCATACGGAGAGACTGATCCACCACGTCGACGTTGGCCTCAGAAGGTGGAGCCCCCGGGGAGTATGCCTGCTCACAGAACATTGCCCATTCAAAGCCTATTTCCGGAGGTTCAACTTCAGAGAAGGTACGGGGGAATGCGGATGTGGAACAGGAGAACAGGAGACGGCTTACCATCTAATGGAGGAATGCCAAGGAGAAGAACAAAAGAGATCCATGGCGAAATTTAGAAGACGGCAGCAAGAAGTAGGTGGAACACTTTCTTTTCAGGTTACCAAGGAGACTAAAGAGGAAGAGATCGCAATCTATAGGCAAGATGAAGAAACGGAAGAGGAACAGAAAGTTGCCGAAGGAAACAATGACAGAGAAGAAGAGGAATAAAACCAGTAAGTCAGAAATTGTTAAGTTGTATGCATGGGGATGGATGCAAGAAGGGGAGAATAAAAGACGAACGTAAGAGGAGCCGTAGGGGGGATAGAAAATCAACGAAGGCCTAAAGTCTTCGGACGGGCAGGCAGGGGGGCCCTCATAAAAAAAAGCATCACCAAAAGTCATCACCTTGCGTGAGAGCTGTATGGCGTTCAACAGCGAAATTCAAATTTCGGCGTTCTCCACGTAATCGCTTCACCCTCCTACGTCCATCGTGAGCCCAAAGACAAAACCGGGATTCTCTGAGAACACTACCCGACTCCATTCGTGATCCCAATTTGCTCGCTCGTTGCACCATTGCAACCTACGAGCACAATGTCTTGGTGGCAGTGGGAGACAAAGAAATGGTCGATATGAACGCAACCCAAACGACGTTATTCAGTGATAAACTGATGACA